CTTCTTAATTTGCCAAAAATCCATAAAATTACAATTTTTTCTTCAATTTGTGAAAATTGGTACACACAAATACAAAAAATTAAATGAATGGACAGTATGATGGTCAAACCTATAGAATTTATGTACAAGAAGGGAAAAACATCATCAATTTAACTATAAAAGTGCTGATGGAATCACATTCTATCAGAATTGGTAACTTTATACCAACTTTTCAGCAACATCTTTTCTACAGGTTTTGGAAGTCTAAGATATTAACCAATATTTTGCTGGTAGACAAATTGCTTCATTTTCAGATCTGTCAGTAATGCAGCCAAATTACTCACACCTAGAGGTCTGGAAAATTGTCTATTCAACATGTCAGTCAAAATATACATGCTTTGTGATTTTCTTCAATTAGATTCTGTAAAGAATACCATACAGTACACGTCACTCAGCCAAACTAATTCCTGTATCTTAAACACTGCACCTTTCATGTGGACTTAATCAATATTTATCAGTATCATTACACTTTATAAATAATTCCAAAGTTGGCATTATTTCTTGTACATTTTTTTCTAATGTTTGTGTATGTTAGAGATTTAACAAGGTTCAGATATGATGAAAATCATCTAGAACCTTGATAAGTCACAAAAATTTAGGCCCGTTCTTATTCTCCATTTTAACATTTAAATCTCCATGGACTGTCAGATTGCATGTAAAATAGAGGCGAAAGATACCAATGGGACATTCAAACTCATAAGATGAAAACAAACTGACAACGCCATGGCAAACGAAAAATGATGAATGGCAAATAACAGTACACAAAACACAAGATGGCAAATAAACTGTTTGGCTTAATATTGGGGTGTGTTATTCAAACCATTTCTGATATTTGATTTGATTGCCAATCCTCTTTTCCCCATCTGTATGAATCTGTTTCATTTCCATCTTGTGCAGCAAGACAATAAAGAAGATGAATTTGGTTTTATGTCATATTTAAGTTTATTTAAAGACAGCCATCACTGACTAAAATAAGGTTGGAAAAGAAATGAGCTCTTATCATGCAAAATTCTGATCTGAAAGAATTAAATATGAAATAAACTGCTGTGCTTATCCTTTATATAAATTATTAAAGTGTCATAATTCAGGAACAACAAATCGTGAGTATTTCAAAAGCTTTTACTAGTTGTATAAAAAAAAAATGGTCAAATGTGTGTTTTTAATATTTCTTGGGGGTTAAGGTGCAGGTAAACTTGAATTTGTGCAGGACTCACAAAAGTTTATATATGTCTGACAAATCAAGTCCCATAACTCTGGAACGACATCTTAAAATCATTAATTGTAATTGGGACTTTTTAAATGGAACCAAACATTCAATCAAGCAACTTTGAGTTATCATAAGACATGGTCCAAACTGTAGACTTTTCAATAAATAAGTCCAATTACTCTGTAACAGCAAATAACAAGAATGTGTCCATAGTACATGGATGCCCACTTGCACTATCATTTTCTATGTTCGGTGGACCGTGAAATTGGGGCAAAACTCTAATTTGGCATTAAAATTAGAAAGATCATATAATAGGGAACATGTGTACTAAGTTTCAAGTTGACCAAAAACTTTAACCTGAAGCGGGACAGAGGGACAGACGGACGAACGGACGAATGGACAGACGCACAGACTGAAAAACATAATGCCCCTAAGTGGGGCATAAAAATGGTCAAAATGCAGAGGAAGCTTGTATTTAGTGTAACGGACATCGTACAAATAAAAAAAATCCAATAAAGTAAACTTGAGTTATAGTGAGACATGTTACACATTGGAAAATTAAAGTCCCATAACTCTAGAATAACAAATCTTGTCAAAATTAAATGGGAGCTTGTCTTGATGGAATGCAAAATTCTATAAAAAACATTCTGAAAGATCCTGTGAGCCATTCTTGAGACCTGCTCCAAATTAAAGAATTTTTAACTTTTCAAGTCCCCTAACTCAAAATATGTCAAAATCTAACGAGAGCATGTCTTCATAAAACCAAACACTGTGTAATATTTTTACAAAGACCTGTTTATAAAATCAGGAGATATTGCAATACATGCTTGGATGGACAGCTGGACAGAGTTAGAGTTAAGATACTATGTCCATGGTTGACAGTCGTATAAAAGACTAAAAGATCACGTCTAAATCCAATGTACACAGTGACTATCTAAAGGTCACTATGTGGAACATTAAATATATATCAAGGAAATCCTTCTTGTCATAAATGAATGAAGTTTTTCTCCTGGGATAATGATCAATAAGTGCTAATTGAACACTGATTGAAAGCTTTCATGGAAGGCCAGATTTTTGTAGCTAATAGCTTTCCTTTTTATGGCAACAGAAATTTAAATTTTCCACAAGAGCAACATTTAAGACTTGAAAGTTAAATGGGGCAGCAGATTCGAAATCTACATCAAGTTAATCGTTTCCTTACTTCCAGTTACTAAAAGCCCTTAAATTATCGTCAAAAACAAAACTTCTCATTTTTTTCATTAACAGTACTAACATCTTCTTCAAATGATGAATAACAAATGCAAAATGCAAATGTAATTTTTTCCCCTTATTCCACAACTTGCAAATAGATTTTCCACACCTCAGTAACATGAAATATGGATTTTTAAAGGTTACATGTATCACAGCTCAAACAAAGGTTCCTCAGAAATTTGCTAATCAGATATAAGTTTATACAGAAAAGTGTTACTACTGCAAACTTTATGTATTATATTAAGGATGTATTCTTCTGATGTTTCAGTCTCGTTGAAATCTTGTTCGGGAATTATTTCCAAAACATGTGATACAAGTGGAAAATATCAATGAATTTAAAAAATATAATCAAACTAAACGCTGAGAAAAAATTGTGTACTCACAATAAGTAGTTTTCTTTTCAAAATTCTTAGATATGTATTTTTTCAATCATTTATAACAAAGAAGTTGAAATAATATGCTTTTTGTTCTAAAAAAAAAAGAGAAAAATCCCAAATTTACAAAATTGACAGCATGGTCAATTAATTTGACATGAAAAAGCAACAAAATTTTATAAAACTTTCTAATATTAACACCACCCTATAGTTTTTTTAAGTTGAATTTATTCAGATTGGTCTACTTCATCTTTAGTGAAAGTGTGAAAAAAAGTTTAATTGTGAAACTGTGATTTTTTTCATGATAGCCCAAAAATGGGTAAAATTGATGAAAAATGGGGAAACAATTAAAATTGGGTACTTTCAAATGACCGTAGCAAAAAAATAAATGCACCGCCGTATGATTTTTTTCTGCACCAATTACTTTCTTACAGTCATATAAACCCAAAACTCAGGTTAAGAAAAAAAGTTTAATTCTAGAAATTTTTGTGTACATCCTTAAGGCCAGACTTTTTTTATTATCTGTTTAACGAGATCCGCCGACTCCAATTTCCCGATTTCAGAATAAAAATAAAAGAAGTGCTTTTTACTTTTATTTTAATTTTTCCCTCCGACTGTTACGAAATCCTCAGAACAAAAATAAAATCTGTGGTTTACGATACCCGCTTTCGTCATCGGTAATATTTAATTTTTACCAAGTCGATGAAACAGCAATTTCAAAGTAAAGAAATTAAAGGCATAAATGATTTATGACTTCAAAAAAGAGGTTAAAGCATTGATTTTTCAAGCTGGTGGCATGTTTTTTCATAAAAACAATTTGTTTAAAACCACTTTCGCCGGTACTTGTTACACGAGAGAGTACATCAAATCATTCTAACTTTCGACTAAATAAGTTATTACTTCATTTGAACTTGATGAAATTAGCCTGAAGTAAATTTGTAATCCATGTATTGCATTAAAAACGTCATATTCCTTTCCAAAAAGCGTATCAAACATCATTTATATTTGTAAAGTTTTCTCCGACATTTAAATTATTGGGTATATTTTTGAAGAACTACGGATTGGAGTCGGGATTTCATCACAAGCGGACCCGCTATGACCGAAATCCGGATTCTTGCGATAATGACTACGGACGCATGAATGGCACTGCTGACAGACAAAAATTGATCCCAAAAGGAAAAATTACGCATTCCACACGCATTAACGTACTTTTGGTTAGATATTTTTGATTAATGTTTATATTTCCTTTTTAATGCACTGTTTCAATTTATAAGTTAATGTTGCTCAACCATGTCTATTACACTAATATAAAATAATTATATTATTTCCAAGCTTAACGGTTAAATGAATATATCTTTTTAATGAAAAATAATTAATTTCATGAACATGATAACAGAGTAGTTTTTTTAATTGAATTGTATATACAGTATAAACATGTAACATACACTAAGAGGTTCCTGACTGGTAATATACATATATATAGTGTATATGCAGGGAGGTTGATATATTTGCCTGGTGCATATGCATGGATCTAAATTAGAGGACATACAGAACAGAATCAAAAGACATTTTTTATGTTCATATTAATAGAAGGGTTAATATACTGGTCTGTTTTCATTTCATTGTTCTTGTATTTTGATAAATTCTTAAAAAAAAAAAAAGAAAAAATTAAAAAAAAGGTCACTTATAATGGTTTTATTTTTATTTTTAGTGTCGACTGGACCAACTTTGCACTTTTATTTTTTTTTTCATTTCGTCCCCTCAACCCTAATTTTTTACAAATTTTCTTGTTAAACAGATAAAAAAAAAGTCTGGCCTAATATATATATTTTTTTTCTTTTGCAAAGAAGTTTGGGGATGTGGTGGCAGACATGTGACATGTTTGTCAAGTCACAACAGCAGATTTGAAAATTTTCAGCTGTACTTTCGGCCTTAAATCTTGAGATTTTTTATTCAATATTTTTATGGATGTTTTCAGTGTTCATTTTGATAATAAAGCAATATATCTACCTTACATTATTTCTACAAAAAGATTCCTACATGTATGCTAAAGTTTCTCTTTTTTTTTAAAACTTTATACAAGTATATATTTATATCTAATCAGTTATAGATAAAAGACACTTTCTTACCTTACATTAACTATTTAAAGTCTTTTCTGTATATATCCCTGTTAAATCCAGCCTAAAAACCAAAAAAAGTTCAAATTTAATCAAGCATTTCATCTACAAATGTCTTATCAATGTTGTTTGTTCAAACTCTGCTCTCATCTTAACAAAGCTAATTACCTCCCCTTCCTTGGTGTGATTTATTTCGACAAAACAAATGCCAATTTCCATGCACAGTCATTTTAGTAATTGACCAATTAAATTGCATGTTTATCGATTCAGACTTTATTTGACAACAGTGTATTTGATAACCGAAACATGAAGGTTGAATATAATATCAAAATGTAGTTTTTTATTCAAATAAACTGGATAAAGTATTTGATTAAGGATCAACTTATTTATGATGTAAAATTACATTTCTTTTTATCAGATCAGATATAATAGTTTAAACAAAGTTTTCTTTCCTCAGTGAAGATTAACAAGCAAATTATTATAACAGACTAAAAAGGTAAATGAGCTTTGAATTATCAAGGCATATCAAAGCATGAACACTTGATCCTTACAAAAAAGCTTAAGTTAGCCTCAACATTCAACATCAAAGATGCTCTGGTACCTATATTGATTTAATTTTGTTTACCTTTATTATTCGTCTCACAGGTACAATTCAAATAGAATATCAAAATATCAATACAATAAAACAAATATTAAATGTCCATATTTTTCTGTTCAAAGATTTTTACAATTATTGATATTAATTGCGTTTTAATATAGCTTTCATGTCACAAGTAAAATTCGTTTCATGATTAATAATCATTGAGACCATTGCAAGTAGAATATAATGCTGGACTTTGCTAAAAATACGTCAACAAGCAAAAATAAAATCTTTTGATAATGGAGGGCAAGTGGATAAGGGCTTTTTGACCTTTAAAATATGATTTTCAGAACCAATGGAAATGACATTTGAATCCTCTAAACCCATCTTGCATAAAGGAACCAAAAGAAAATTGAAAGCTTTGAGTGCAAGACAAAAGTTGGATACTTTGTTCTTTAATCATTGAAATTCTCAATTTATTCAAACAATGTAAAAATTATGTCGATAAAACAAATGACTTTTGAAAAGGCTTCAGATTAAAAATCTTATAAAATTTGTTAGAAGAATGAGAGTTAACATGACATCTTAAATTTATTGCAATTTTTAAGGTTCTTAAAAAAAGAAAGGAAAATGTAAGAATTGCATGGAAACTCCTTGAATATATTTGTGATTGTTCTCAAAATTATAACCAAATGAAAAAAAACAAATGTAACAAGAAATGATTGTAACAGGATGCTGTTACGAAGTCTCCCAAACGAAGCTCCCATAATTCGAAATTCCCAGGGTCGCCTGACATTGGGCAACGTCCAGTGAAAATTGGTTTGGTCCAGTAAAGTTATATGCATTAGTGATGCCTGGGGACTAACCTTGTATATCATTCAAATCATCTTGGCATGACAAACCAGAATATATATGGTTTAGGGGTGGAGATCTCAACCATTTACAAGATACTAGAATATTGGGGGTGGGGAGGAACCCCTGGGGACTGGCCCTATACATCATTCAAATGTTCATTACATGACGAACAGGAATATATATGGTTTAGGGGTGGCGATCTCAACCATTTACAAGATATTAGAACATTGGGGGTGGGGGGAACCCCTGGGGACTGACCGTATACGTCATTCAAATGTTCTAGACATGACAAATAGGAATATATATGGTTTAGGGGTGGGGATCTCAACCATTTACAAGATATTAGAACTTTCTCAAATGGCAGGGGGTCGGGATGACCCCTGGGGACTAACCCTGTCTATCATTCAAACCATCTTCGCATGACAAAGCAGAATATATATGGTTTAGGGGTGGGGATCTTGACCACTTAGAAGATATTAGAACTTTCTTAAATGGCAGGGGGTTGGGGTGACCCCTGGAGACTAACCCTGTATTTCATTTGATGTGCTTTATCATGACAAACCGGAATATATATGGTTTAGGGGTGGGGATCTCGACCATTTACAAGATATTAGAACTTTCTCAAATGGCAAGGGGTGGGGATGACCGCTGGGGACTAACCCTGTATAACATTTGATGTGCTTTATCATGACAAACCAGAATATATATGGTTTAGGGGTGGGGATCTCGACCATTTACAAGATATTAGAACTTTCTCAAATGGCAGGGGGTCGGGATGACCCCTGGGGACTTACCCTGTATATCATTCAAACCAACTCAGCATGACAAACCAGAATATATATGGTTTAGGGGTGGGGATCTTGACCACTTAGAAGATATTAGAACTTTCTTAAATGGCAGGGGGTGGGGGTGACCCCTGGAGACTAACCCTGTATTTCATTTGATGTGCTTTATCATGACAAACCAGAATATATATGGTTTAGGGGTGGGGATCTCGACCATTTACAAGATATTAGAACTTTCTCAAATAGCAAGGGGTGGGGGTGACCGCTGGGGACTAACCCTGTATAACATTTGATGTGCTTTATCATGACAAACCAGAATATATATGGTTTAGGGGTGGGGATCTCGACCATTTACAAGATATTAGAACTTTCTCAAATGGCAGGGGGTCGGGATGACCCCTGGGGACTTACCCTGTATATCATTCGAACCATCTCAGCATGACAAACCAGAATATATATGGTTTAGGGGTGGGTATCTTGACCACTTAGAAGATATTAGAACTTTCTTAAATGGCAGGGGATGGGGGTGACCCCTGGGGATTTACCCTGTATAACATTTGATGTGCTTTATCATGACAAACCAGAATATATATGGTTTAGGGGTGGGGATCTCGACCATTTACAAGATATTAGAACTTTCTTAAATGGCAGGGGGTGGGGGTGACCAATGGAGACTTACCCTGTATTTCATTTGATGTGCTTTATCATGACAAACCAGAATATATATGGTTTAGGGGTGGGGATCTCGACCATTTACAAGATATTAGAACTTTCTCAAATGGCAAGGGGTGGGGGTGACTGCTGGGGACTAACCCTGTATAACATTTGATGTGCTTTATCATGACAAACCAGAATATATATGGTTTAGGGGTGGGGATCTCGACCATTTACAAGATATTAGAACTTTCTCAAATGGCAGGGGGTCGGGATGACCCCTGGGGACTTACCCTGTATATCATTCAAAGCATCTCAGCATGACAAACCAGAATATATATGGTTTAGGGGTGGGGATCTTGACCACTTAGAAGATATTAGAACTTTCTTAAATGGCAGGGGGTGGGGGTGACCCCTGGGGACTTACCCTGCATAACATTTGATGTGCTTTATCATGACAAACCAGAATATATATAGTTTAGGGGTGGGGATCTCGACCATTTACAAGATATTATAACTTTCTTAAATGGCAGGGGGTCGGGATGACCCCTGGGGACTAACCCTGTAAATCATTCAAACCATCTTAGCATAACAAACCAGAATATATATGGTTTAGGGGTGGGGATCTTGACCACTTTCAAGATATTAGAACTTTCTTAAATGGCAGGGGGTGGGGTAACCCCTGGGGACTAACCCTGTACTTCATTTGATGTGCTTTATCATGACAAACCAGAATATATATGGTTTAGGGGTGGGGATCTCGACCATTTACAAGATATTAGAACTTTCTCAAATGGCAGGGGATCGGGATGACCCCTGGGGACTTACCCTGTATATCATTCAAACCATCTTAGCATGACAAACCAGAATATATATGGTTTAGGGGTGGGGATCTTGACAACTTAGAAGATATTAGAACTTTCTTAAATGGCAGGGGTGGGGGTGACCCCTGGGGACTAACCCTGTATTACATTTGATGTGCTTTATCATGACAAACCAGAATATATATGGTTTAGGGGTGGGGATCTCGACCATTTACAAGATATTAGAACTTTCTCAAATGATAGGGGGTGGGATGACCCCTGGGGACTAACCCTGTATATCATTCAAACCATCTTAGCATGACAAACCAGAATATATATGGTTTAGGGGTGGGGATCTTGACCACTTACAAGGTATTAGAACTTTCTTAAATGGCAGGGGGTGGGGGTGACCCCTGGGGACTAACCCTGTATTTCATTTAATGGGCTTTATCATTTAGAACATTTTCAATTAAAAAGTTTGTGTCTATCACGAACGGTTTTCAATTTATAATCATTTGAAAATTTTAAAAAATAAAATCCCATAGGGTTCTATAGTAAAACCCTCTTTTCTTTTTGCCCCTCAAAGTATCCCTTTAAAAACCCCATTGCAAAAACAAAACCCTGATTGCACCACTAGACATGTTAGTCTAACATATTGTGAAACCCTAAGTTAATCCGACAAGCGGTTTTGGAGAACGGGTGCGGACAAGTTCAAATTTAAAAGCGGCGGAAGAAGAAGAAGAAGAAGAAGAAGAGGAAGAAGAAGAAGAAGAATAATAATAATAATAAGAACTGAGCAAAAACAATAAGTCTTCCCAAACTTCGTTTGGGAGACTTAATTAAAACTAAAATGACAAGTGCCATAAAAAAAGTGTATCTTTTTGATCCAATTGTAGCTGACCATCCACAAGTTCAAAGAATCTTGTTGTGTTCATTGTAAAAACATTCTTGATGTTCATGTGACTGTCATTTTAGATTGTTGACAATTTGTATTGATGTCAGATCTTTGATAGTAACTATTAAATTCATTCACTTTTCAAGACTGGAGCAATATTTCATAGACGCTTGTCTATTGTTGCAGACTGTATCAGGTCATCACACTAGCAGGACAATAAGAGTGTTAACTGTCCGTTGAGATTATAATGGAGTTCATGTATGGTTGCTTCTCTTTTCCAGACAAAAAAAGAGATATTCGTCACAGGCCAGTAAGTACTAATTTTCTCTTTTAATAGTACTGATATCTACAGAAACTTATTAGACGTTAAATTGTTAATTATATTATTTATTTGTATTGTTTTTGTGAATATAAAAGGATGTGAGGTAAATGTCGATAAGACAGCAACCCAACAATACTATATAACCAAAACAAAAACTATTTTGTGGTTTTGAGTTGTCTTAGTCTGGTATTGTTCTATGAATTTTAAAATACTTGCAACTTTAATTCTCTTAAAGGGGCATTCGAGCTGTCAAATTCATGTTCACCGATTTGACTTAAATTCTCAAATTAAATTATTACATACTAAAACGTATATCCAAATTACAAAAAGTCTAAAGTAAACAATTAACAATGCATGGACTCGATTATATGTATCAACATTTCATGTGTATTTTTGTCTAGATGTTATCTAATTAACCATCGAGATGACCTCCGAAGACTGACGACAGTCACAAAATCCGATATAAACATAAATATAGATAAAAATAGATAGAAACCACATGCAATTGGATTTTTCTAGGTCTGTCTGATTTCATATTCTAGGTTAAAAAGTATGTTTATCATCATTTTTACCTGTATAAGAATTACATTTTGTGGATCGAATCAGTCAAACAAATGGTTCATCCTTGTTTCACTTTCAATGTTGACATTCTTTTCCTTTTAATAGCTGAATACATGTGTAACCCATCTCCAGCTAAGGGGTAAAATGGAAGGTCACATAAATACGGATTTAATGAATTTGAATTATTCACCTGCAAGTGAATAATTCATCAGCAATGTTTCTTAGCTTATTTTGACAAAATTGAACCAAATTGGCTGCTAAAAGTGAAATATTATTTCACTATTTCACTTTCATTAATGATTGAACAAATAAAGAGCTGTGCCATTAGCGCATGATACACACGTCACTTTTTCAATGAATCAAGTTCCATAACTCCTCAACATCCTTTCAAAAATTAAAAAAAAACTAAACGGAGGTTATTTTAATAGATATTAACCATTCACCAAAGTTTCATAAAAACTGCTCAAAGCATTTTTGAGTTTTTGTCTGAAAACTGGAAAATCCCCCTTTTTTAATGAATAAAAACCCCATACCTCAGAAACGTAAAATCTAAAATTTTTAAAAATCAAAATGGAGCTCACGTCAATAGATATGAACAATTCACCAAAGTTTCATGCAAATTGGTTAAAGCGTTTTTGAGTTATTGTCGGACATGTTGACAACGGACGGACTGTGGGACAGACAATGGTATACCATAATACGTCCTGTAAACGGGTGTATACAAAAATCATATCTTAAATTATTTTTATATCTCGTAGCTAAATGCCCCTTTAAAAAGATACATGCAGTCAGTCAATTTTAATAGAAATTGAACCGATCGATTCCTTTTTTTAGACTGAGTGCTTCAAAAAAGATCGTTTTACTTTTTTACTTGACCATTCCCCACACAGTAAAAAATCATACTCTATATCTTATGTTTGTTAAAAGTGTTGCCAATTATATTTTACAAATAAAATAATTCTGATATCTAAAACTGCTTTAAGTAAAACTAGCTTGTGCATGAATGAAGAGAGATTATTAATCTGATCATTGTTCTTTGTTTACAGTAGACAGATAAATGTCTTCTGTCGGAAATAAGTAATATTGTAAATTGTTTGGACCTATTTGTAGAATGGGATTTAATTTTCTAAAATACAAAATTAAGATTAAATTCAGTTTCTCAAGTTTTTCTCAAAGGATGTATAATGTCTTGTATACGTATAGTCCATTAACTACATTTATCAATAGGAAAATGTCTATTTCATTAGATACATCACTTTTGTATCTGAGTATATCACATTTCTGGGGAAACCAATGTTATTGAGAATATTAGTGGGAACTATAGATCATACTTTACTGTATTTCAGCAATCTAAGGTTCCATCATGGTTTGGTTTCTTTGTCTGACAGTCTGGAAAAGAAAGCAACTAAATAATAACATGTATACTGTATTCACTTTACATAACATTTGGAGGGAACTGGGAGCTAACTTCATATTTGATGTACAGGGATAGTATGCAAGATATACAAATCTTGTATCACTGTGAAACAGGGCCTTCAATTAAGACAGAAACCCAACAGCAAAAGTAAAACAAATAAAAGAAGAATGTGTCTGAGGACATGAATTCCCCTGCTCAAGCTTTGCAATTTACCAAGTTAAAAAGGTGCATTACTCTAGAACGGTTAATGACTCACAACCCAAATTTGAACTCTGTCTGCATGTTATGTTCTTGGCAATGTGCATGAGTTTCATAAAATTTGCATGAGACAAACTTAAGTAAGAGTGTGGAAACGAAAAAAAATTGTAATTTTGCAAGCTACAAAGGGGCATAACTCTAGAAACATTAGTGACTCACTACCAAAATTCGAAATCTATCTGCAAGTTTTGGTTCTTATCATTGTGTATGAGTTTCAGAAAATTTGGATGAGAAAAACTCAATTTAGAGTGCAGAAACAAAAAAAATTGCAATTTTCCAAGTTATAAAGGACCATAACTCTAGAACGGTAAGTGAATCACTGCCCAAATTCGAACTCTGTCTGCAAGTTTTGGTTTTTAGCATGATGTATGAGTTTAATCAAATTTGCATTTAGCAAACTTAAGTTAGAGTGTGGAAACAAAAATTAGACGGACAGAAAGATGAACGGAAGGATGGATGGAAGAAAGACAGACGGACGGTCAAGGGTATCACTTAATGCACCCATTGCCTACGGCAGGGGCATAAAAACAAATATAAATTTGCTAGATTTGCTGGTTTCACATCAGTTGTTTCTGCAAGACTAATTTGCTTATTCAAAGTTCACACAAAAAGACTGGTGGTTTATTCTTAATAGCTTCCCATAAATACCATCTTCTATAAATATGTTAAAATAGTAGATCATAAAAGTGCATATAATTAGATTTCAGCTTGTCAATTTTAAAGTATTATTACAGCTCTTTAATTGGAAGCAGTAAAACGCATATGATAATTGTTCTCCTGTGTTCAAGAACGGTCATTAAAATATACATAGTTGCAATAATACAAATACTAATCAGATTAACTGCTGTTACATATACATACTTGTGAGAGTACTATAAATGTTGGCTCTACTTAAAGAGAAACTAGAGGCTCTAAAGAGCTTGTCGCTCACCTGCATCTTCAACAATAACAATTTTTGTGAAAAATCATCATGAAAGGGCAATAACTCTATAAAGAGTCAACTGACATTTTCAGTCATGTTGACATATTTGTAGATCTTGTCTTGCTGATCATTTTTGTTGCATAAAGTTTCTATCTATCAATTTTAATTATTTAAAATAAAAGGCAAAAATGCAAAAATGGGAAAAAGGGCAATAACTTCAACAAGGAGTCAACTGAAGATTTCAATTACGTTGACTTATTTGTAGATTTTGACTTGTTGATCATTTTGGCGTTTTAAAGTTTCTTTCTATCTATTATAGGTTTAGCTAGCTATAAAACCAGGTTTAATCCAATATTTTCTACATAAGAAAATGCCTGTACCAAGTCAGGAATATGACAGTTATTTTCCATTCGTTTGATATGTTTGAGCTTTTGATTTTGCCAATTGTTAAGGGACTTTCCGTTTTGAATTTTCCTTGGAGTTAGGTTTTTTTGTTGTTTTACTTTTTTTTTATAGCTTTTAAGATATAAGGCAAAAGCTAAAAAAAAATGGTAAAAATCCTCAATAAAGAGTAATAACTCAAATAAGGAGTCGTCGGATGATTTCAGTCATGTTGACTTATTTCTAGATCTTGTCTTGCAAATCACTTTTTGTAAAAAAAATTCTATATATCTATTATAGTTTTCAAATAAATAGACAATTATGAAAACAAGAGTGCACACGCTGAAATGTCTCACCTTCTTTACTAATCATTGATATTATGTTGATAGTCCTAAATATAAAGCTTTATTACAACTGTCACATAAACTTAACATTAACCAAGTAAACTAAACATTGACCAATGAACCATGAAAATGAGGTCAAGGTCAGATGAACCATGCTAGGCAGGCATGTACAGCTAACAATTCTTCCATACAACAAATATAGTTGACCTATTGCTTATAGTTTAAGAAAAACAGACCAAAACACAAAAACTTAACACTGAGCAATGAACCTTGAAAGTGAGGTCAAGGTCAAATAAAACCTGCGTGACTGACATATAGATCATAGAATATTTCCATACACCAAATATAGTAGACCTATTGCATACAGTATAAGAAAAACAGACCAAAACACAAAAACTTAACTATAACCATTGAACCATGAAAATGAGGTCAAGGTCAGATGACACCTGCCAGTTGGACAAGTACACCTTACAGTCCTTCCATACACTGAATATACTAGACCTATTGCTTATAGTATCTCAGATATGGACTTGACCACCAAAACTTAACCTTGTTCACTGATCCATGAAATGAGGTCGAGGTCAAGTGAAAACTGTCTGACGGGCATGAGGACCTTGCAAGGTACGCACATACCAAATATAGTTATCCTATTACTTATAATAAGAGAGAATTTAACAATACAAAAAATCTTAACTTTTTTTTCAAGTAGTCACTGAACCATGAAAATGAGGTCAAGGACATTGGACATGTGACTGACGGAAACTTCGTAACATGAGGCATCCATATACAAAGTATGAAGCATCCAGATCTTCCATCTTCTAAAATATAAAGCTTTTAAGAAGTTAGCTAACGCCCCCTCCGCCTCATCACTATCCCTATGTCGAGCTTTCTGCGACAAAAGTCGCAGGTTCGACAAAAAAATGATAAAATTTGACATTTAAGGGCTATACTCCTGCAGGAAGTCATCTGACAGTTTTGACGTAAACAGACAGCCAGTAGATCTCAACATTCTGAACATTTCTGCCCCAATCAAATTTTCTCTATTCATAGAAGTTTTCAAGATAATAGACAAAATTTGCATTTTACCCCTATGTTCTATTGTTAGCCATGATGGCCATCCTGGTTGACAGGTGGGGTCGTCAGACATATCATTTAGACTAGATACTCCAATAATAATTGTGGCCTTGTTTGGTTAAGTTTTGCCCAGAAGATTTTTGTAAAAGACAACAACAACAACGAACGGCAAGTGATAAAAAAAGTTCTCTTGGTCTTATGGCCAGGTGAGCCAAAAAAAAATTAGAGGTTCACATTAGCCTGTATTGCTCCCACTGCTTCTAACAAAATTGCCTATGTAAATATTTTTGAGATGAGGATGATTACCTTACTTGTGAAATTGAATCTCTTTAAATTACTATTTACTTTATTAATATTTTCAGTATCAACCAATCACCTTGAGCAATCAGATACCAAGGCAATATTTTTTTTAAGGCTATGCATGGAAAAGAATAATCTTCTCAAGCATATTTCTGCCATACTTGGCTTTTACTTACTTCAACTTTCAACTTTTGAAAGCTGAAATAGTTTTTGATCAATCAGAATTCAGGACAGTCATCTTGGATTGTAGCATGGCATAAAATTACAATTGTTTTTGTCAAACCTTATGCTTTTCCACTTATAGCCTACTGCAATATTGGAATTATTTTTTAAGGCAAGAACTCTTAATTTGTGGTCCACTCACAGGTCAAATGAAATCAGTTAGCTTGATATGTCCATATACAAGTAATTTTTGCATGAAAACATATTCTTAACCTAGCATGTATACTGTGCTGCACACTAAATACAAATTAACGCTGTAAATTAGGTCAAGGCTATATGACACATGTCAGACAACTATGTGATATATTGTTTTCGCAACCAATCCAAATACCAAATATTGGTGATCTACCATTAATTCAGAAAATAGTACTTTCAGAGCAGAAGATTTTTGTAAAAGTTAATGAACAAAGGAAGATGAGGGAAGACGACAGACAACAGATGAGAAGAGAACGCAAAAGCTCACACTGGCCCTTTTGGCCATGTGAGCCAAAAAAATAAATGGCAAGTAATATGTGGTTACAACTCCATAAAAGTTGGTCAACTGAAATTAAAGAAAACCTCATTATGTCTCTCAATACTATACATTTCAAAATCTAAAACCATGGCAATTGGATGGCAAAGCTAAAAAGAACTCGAGGCTCTAAATATGTATGTACATATTCAACAATAGACACTGTCCAACATTGAAGACTAGAATAGAATTCTTTACAAAAATCTCTTTTTTAATGATCTTGTATTGCTGATAATTTTTTTTTTTTTACAGTTTCTCTCGGTCATCTTTAATTTTTGCCCAAAAGACAAAAAAGGGTAAAAAATTGTCATTTAAGGGCAATCACTCCTAAAATGAGTCTAAAAACGATTTTGGCAAAATTTGACTCATTTGTAGATCTTGTCTTGCTGATAATTATTTGATATTTAAAGTGTCTATCCATCTGTTATAGTTTTCAAGATAATAGGCATTAAGGTAATATTTTGGTAAAATTCATCATTAATGAGCAAGAACTCCATAAAGGAGTCAACTGAAAATTTCAGCTATGCTGACAAAAATGAAAAAAATAGGGAAAATTCATCATTTAAGGGCAATAACTCCTATAACAAGTCATCTGACAGTTTTGATGAAAATGGACAATAGGTACCGGTAGATCTCATCATTCTGAACATCTTTGCTCCTGTCTGTATTTCTTTATCTATAGCGATTTTCAAGATAATAGACAAAACATGCACTTTACATCTATGTTCTATTTTTAGAATGTTGGCCATGATGGTTAGCAGGCGGGGTCATCAGACAAATATTTTAAACTAAATACCCAAATAATGATTATGGCCAATATTGGTTAAATTTGACCCAGTAGTTTCAGAGAAGATTTTTGTAAAGGTTAAAGACAACAGACAACATACGCCAAATGATGAGAAAAGCTCACTTGGCCCTTTGGCCCAGGTGAGCAAATAGAAAAGTAATTTGTTCATGATA